TTCAGGCTGTTTTCATGCTTTGTTCAGGCTGTTTTCAGACTTTCTTCAGGCTAATTTTAGACCGTTTTCAGGCCTTCTTTAGGCTGCTTTCAGACTGTTTTCAGGCTAATTTCAGGATTTCTTCAGACTGTTTTCAGTCTTTCTTCAGGCTACTTTCAGACTGTTTTCATTCTTTTTTCAAGCAGTTTTCAGGCAGTTTTCAAGTTGTGTTAAAGTTTGAGGCTTTTCGGCCTGATATTTGTGTACTTAAAGTAATGACACTATCTGCGTTTGACAGTCAAAGAAAATTTCTCCTTGTAAATATTTGTAATTGGTCTGAGCAGTCAGAGGGTAAACAGAAGTGTCACTGAGCTCAGAATCAACTCCTGCAGGAATGTTTTTACGGTTTGTGTCTTCAGCTGCTCCAGAGTCACAGCAGATCAGACCGAATGGTGGCGCTGCTCAGCATCTACGAAGACGAAGACCGGGCCTACCAGGACCTTGTGACTGTGGCCACCAGCTTCTTCCAGTACCTGCTGCAGCCTTTCAGAGACATGAGAGAACTGGCCAGCCTGTACAAGATGGAGATTCTGGTAAATAGTCTCATGATGAAAGTGAAACTTTGTGCTGCATTCCTTATACAAACCAAGGCTCAACATAGATTTTAAATCCTGTATGATACATTTCACCAGACTACTCAGGATTATTCAGTTTGTTTATGTTTCATCTCCTTTTTCTTTTATTTAAACTTATTCTGAATAAACATGAAATGCTTCTGAGCTTTTTAAAACCCTGGAACAGATCACAGAGTGTAAACTGTCCCGTGTTTTCTTTTTTTTTGTGTGTATTTCTGCAGAAATCTTTGGAGTTTGAGGACTTGGGTCCTAAGAGAATCGCAGCTCTGGAGAAGGAGGCTGAGGAGTGGAGAATGAAAGCAGAAGACGCAGCCGCCTCCATTCAGGACATCACTGTCAACTACTTTGCACAGACTTCAAAGGCTTTGGCTGGTATACGTTGTTGTTTTTATTTATTTGATTTACGAGTGTCATTATTAACTCTGGGGTTTCATAAAATGGAAAACATTTTAGCAGGGTCTATTTGGACTTTATGTTCTTGTGCAGGTATGGTAAAACAGATGGAGGAGGACAAGCGTCGTTTTGGACCTGCTGCCTGGGCGTCTGCAGCTCCCAGACTGGAGAAGCTACGCTTCCTGTTAGCTAAAGAAACCCTGCAGCACATGCGAGCGACGGAGATGTGTCTCAGTCGCAGGAAGGAGACAATTAAAGACGGGGTACGTCACACAGCTGTTCTCATCGTTCTGTAATGAGCCGGTCCAACTCGGGTTAACATGTTGGAGTCTGGAAACATGTTTTTTATTGCACTACCATGCCAGCTGCTGTTGGTGTTGGTTGTTAATGGTGATCTTGGGCCCACTGGGTGTTTTGTTTGTTGTTCTGGTCTGAATCTGTGTGAATCTCTGGCTGCTGAGGTTCTTTGATCTATTTATAAAGCTCTAAAAACCCAGAGAACAGCCCCTGATATAAAAAAAACCCCTTCGTGCATGAATAAGTGAGCGTGTCGGTGTGTTCGGATCACATGATGTGAAGCTGCAGCAGGTTTGGTGCCACGCTGTGCATAGCAACCTGTTTTCTTTTAATTATTTTTGGACGGAAAAGGAGAACACCTTCCTCTCCACCTTAACGTTGCTGCATTATTCATCTGATTAATCGTTTTAAATCAGACCTGAGGATGCTGGAAGCAGCCACCTCTGTGAGATCAGCACGAGTCGGTGGCGCGGAGTCTTTCTAATGAGATCACTGAGCCTCACCTACGCAGAATTTTTGTGCCGGTGGAGCCGAAAACACCGTGAATCTGATGAATGGGGCAGTGCGCTGCAGATTTCACAGCGTGACACCTTTTATGTATAAAACGTGTGCGTTTGTGTGTGTGTTCACACATTCATACATTGAACACATTTAGGCTGTTTTTAAAACCAGATGATAATTTATATTCAGACGCAGTACTTTAAGACATAATTTTATTTTAGTAATATTTTTGCAACTTCAAAATCCGCCTTGTTCGACCACTCGAGGTCAGAGGATCAACATTAAGCTGTTTGCTCTCCTTGATCTGAGTCTTTTTGTGCTCAGTCTACCTGACAAGTCATGGCTGTTGGATAAAAACAGTTTTAAGAGTGAATTGGTCTATCTGCAGCCAACGTGCATATCTGAGAAAACATTGTGCGCCTTTGAAGGTTCATAAGAGCACAGGGAGCTCCGTGGTATTAAATGAAGGGCCTGGAATATCTTGAAGGAATCCATATCGCCTCAACCTGCTGCCTTCAGGGAAAAGGTACAAGAGCCTCCGGGCGCTCTCTAGACTGCAGAACAGCTTCATGCACCAAACTGTCAGGACGCTGAACTCTGTGCCACACCTACACCCTCTACCCCCCGATCCTGGAACGACTGAAAACAACAACTGGAAGTCCACTTGCTGTATATACTGTATTTTTTTCGGCCTATAAGACGCACTTAAAATCCGTTAATTTTCTCAAAAATCAGCAGGGAGCCTTATAATCAGGTGCACTTTATGTATTAATTCTGGTTATGCTTACTGACCTCAAACCGATTTTATGTGGTTATTGTGAATGAGCTGAATAAAGTTTGACTTATTCGACTGTTTTGTTTCAGTTAATGCGCCTTATAGTCCAAAACATACGGTAATGTATACATTCTTGCTTTTTTATCTAAATCTATTTGCGCTATTAAAAGTTGAGAGAAACGGTATACATTTTTCCTGAATATCCTGAGCATAAAACAAAAAAAAAACATCTTTGAATATCACTCGCTGCCTTTCATGACAGAGTTTTAATCCAGGATGGCCACCACAGCCACACCTTATAGCAGACGAGGGCCAAACGTGGCCTTTGGACAATGTCCATCCGGCCCCTGATATCCAAAATTGAAAAGGAAAATCACTTTTAATAAAAGTTCATGAAAACCTGCACTCTAGCAATTAAAAAAAAAACATATTTGACGAATCCATCAAAAACATTTGGATTAAGATAAACTACTTTTTTTTTAGTTGTTGAGTTTCCAGAACTAGACTTAACTGTAAAGACGCCAAGAAGCAAACGTGTTTTATTATAATGTTTGCCATATTTAAGCCAAGTAATATATTGTCACAAGAGCCAGATTACAGAAAGTATGTCTTATATTCTCAGAGTATTGAGGAGACATGTTGTTATCAGGCACTCTAACTACACTACAACAAGCAAAAGTGACGGATAAAAGTCTTCCAGATTATCTTCCGCTTGTTTCAAAGTCCGGTCTCGGGGGCAGCAGCAGGATCAGGGAGGTCCAGACTTCTCTCTCCACAGCCTCTTCTTCCAGCTCTTCTGGGAGGACTCCAAGGTGTTGCCAGACCAGCAGAGACGGTCTCTCCAGTGTGTCCTGGGTCTTCTCCAGGATCTCCTCCTAGCCGGACATGTCCAAATCACCTCCCTAGGGAGGCGCCCAGAGTCCATCTTTACCAGATGTCTGAACCTCGTCTCGATGTGGAGGAGCAGCGGTTCTACTCCGAGTCTCTCCTGGAGAACTGAACTTGTCACCCTATCTCTAAAGAGAGTCCAGCTACCCTACAGAGATAACTCATTCAGACCTCCTGGATCCGTGTCTCGTTCTTTCAGTCTCTACAGAGTTCAGGACCTCAGTTGAGGGTAGAAACGTAGACTGAGCAGTAAACAGAGAGCTTCTCCTTACAACTCAACTCCCTCTTCACCACAACGGACCGGCACAGAGTCCGTAATACTGTAGAAGCTGCACTGGTCTGTCTGCTGATCTCTCGCTCCATTCTTCCCACACTGAGAACAAAACCAGAGATCTTGACCTCCTCCGCTTGAGGTTCTCCATGCAGCCCTTCACTTTAAATAGCTTGATTTGACCCTCTGGAGAAAATGTTGCCCGCTCTGTCTTACAGGATGTGTTAGTGCTCAACGTATGATCAACGTATGATCAACGTATGATCAAAGTATGTGTTGGGAGGCCTCTCAGGCTCTACCACATAACCCTCATCTCATCATCTGTCATTTTGAGTAATTAGGGCTACATGATGTTAGAAAACCTGTGATGTTGTTCAGTGCTGGGAGGAGGATGATGATGAGATCAATAGTGATGACATCATATAGTCATCATTTTCTCTTCTGTCGCCACCATCATTAAACCTGATGATGAAACTGAGAGTCTGTTGTATGAAAGTGACCCGTCACTCCAAACCGAGGGTTAAGTCATATTTGGTCAAACTAAACTACCGGGAAGCCCATTTTCAGATTCCAGGCTACATTTTGATTCCTGGATCATCCTAAACTATCAAGAGCGGTTCCACAGACTTGTCTGGATCCATCAGGATAACTCCTGGAAAATGGGTCTGATTCCTGTTTTTAGCATTTTCTGAGGATTTCTTGACGTCATTTGAAAGAGAAAACATCAAATCGTATTTAAATGTCAGGTTTTCTCAACTGGAAGGACAAAAAGCTTTGCTGGCTTGCAATGAATGTAGCAACAACTTTAGAGCTTTTTTTTTTTCTCATAATCATCATTGGTTGTTGGTACTGCTCAGACAAGTGCTTCAAAACATTCTTTAAGTTTATATATTTCATTTAAGGGACCCAGAGACGATTTATTCAGCAAAGATTCAGATTTGACAAAATCCAATTCCCACAAATGTTTCTACCAGTGCACCAAACCTGAGTATCTCACGACACCGTCCTCTGTTCGGTGCGACGGGTCACAAATATGAGATGCGAGTAGATTAGCTGTGGCAGCCATCTTTAAATGGGTTGACTCCAAATGCTAATCTGCTGTTGATGTTCATTCAGTTATTACTTCCTACGAGTTTCATAAAATATTTAATAATGTTTCTTCTGCTGAAATGAAGCAATAACTTTGTGTTTCAGTTTAAGCTCCATATTTGGAGTAAACCAGGCAACGGTAAAACTTAACAACGTATCATCAAGCTGCAAAGACCAGAGACATTTGTAATAAAAACTGGCTTCAAGCAACCAAAGACTGGTTCATCTTCTAACCAGACGATAAATCTGAGCTCAGGGCCAAGAAAACAGCTCTGTGAGCGTCCAGAGGTCACTGAGCCAGAACCTTTTCCATTAATCGCCTCTGGAGAGTCATGAAAATTGATTTCTGCTCAGGGCCCTTCTTCTGCTCAACACCTCTTAAGACAATCCACTGAGAAGAGCAGCCGAAGATCCTCTGCGAGCTGAAGGGTCCAGCTCTGTTGTCACTCGAGTCGTGATGTTAAAATATGAGGGAAAGGATCAACGCTGAAACTTTTTAATCATATCCAGACTATAAGACCCAAAACTAAACATCCAGCATGTTTTATTTTACTGACACAACACTGGAGGCAGTGGTTTGTTCCAGCTCAGTCCATCACACCAGTACCTGATTAAAAGTGTCCTCAGGTGGATCACGCTTCTGTTTGTTTTATGACCTGGTAAAGTTCAGAGCTGGACAGAAGAATTCACCTCCATACTTCCTGTTCTTGGTTGTTGTTTTTTTGTCACCCTTACATCAAACGCATGTTAATATCAGTCTTTAGTTATTAAAAGGGAAAACGGTCTGTCCAAACCAACTGGTCCTGTGAGGAAAAGTAAAATAACTGGATGGCGTGACGTTCTCCTGCAGGATCTCTCACTTACAGAACTCACGGTTCCATCAAACATGAGCTGTTAGCTCCTGAAGCAGCAAAGCAGCCCCAGACCATCACACTACCACTGCCGTGTTTGACATGTGGGCATGACGTGTTTCAATGCAGCGATTAGATGAAACAAGACACACACACACGGTTCACAGCAGGGATGAGGACCAGAATCTTCAGACCTGAGGCCCTGGTCCTGAATCAGAGGGTGGACTGTCCTCTCCAGGTTGAGGTTCTGTCTCAAGCGGAGGAGGTCAAGAATCTCTGGGTTTGTTCTCAGTGAGGGAAGAATGGAGCGAGAGATGGACAGACGGATCAGTGCAGCGTCTGCAGTATTGTGGACTCTGTGCCGGTCCATTGTGGTGAAGAGGGAGCTGAGCTGTAAGGCAAAGCTTTCTGTTTACTGGTCGGTCTATGTTCCTACCCTCCCCTCTGGTCCTGAACTCCAAAACGGTTTTTAGGTGAATGTGTGACAGGTCTGATTTTTTTGCCCAATGTTTTTTTTTTTTACCTTGGAAGCCTTTTTTTTTTTTTTTTTTTTTTTTTGTTGAATCGTGACCTCTGACCTCAGCTGAGCCGAGTGACATCTGCAGGCCTGTAGATGTTCTGAGTCCTTCTGGGACCTCCTGGGCTTCACCACTCTTCCATGTTTTCTTTGTTTATGGATAACCGGTCTCTTTAAATGATTTCTTAAATCTACAGGTCTGGCTGTAATCACATCAGGCCAGATTAGTTTTTTGAGCTTTTTCTCACTCAGACGAAGTCGTCATTTAAAAACAGCACATTTTGATGTTTTGTTGTTGTTTCTGTGTAGCTGCAGAACCTGTCAGGAAGCGTCCAGGACCGGAGATCTGAGCCCAGGTCTGCATTTGAGGATGGACAGCAGCAGGACTCTGTGGACCAGCTAGAGCTGCAGTTCTACGAGACCCAGCTGGAACTTTATGACACCAAGTTTGAGATCCTGAAGAGCGAGGAGCAGCTGCTGGTGGCTCAGATAGAAACCCTGAGGCGGCAGATTAAAGGTGAGATTAAGAAGATGTGGTGAGCACAATCTGTCTCCTGGATCTGATGAGATGATTTCAGTGTTTCCAGTAAACTGAATGTTCAATCACTTCTATAAAACACAGCGTTTCTCTGAGGTTACTTGCCTTGGCAGGACACTCGTCTCTTCCGGCTCAGCATGAGGGAAACAGAGCGCTACTGCTGTAGCTTTTTAACTAGCATGTCTGTATTGCACGCCGCTAACTTTGCACTACATCAGTGCTGACAGTTGTCGACTGGGGGGGGGGGGGGGGGGG